TTCTACGGAATGCATGATTGTAACGGTCAGCATAGGTTAGGTCATTAAATTGTGCATAATTACTACAGAACAGTACTAACTTACAGTTCTTTGAGCACTCTCTGTTAATCATCAGGAGCTTAACCAGCCAAGTAGAAAAATGGCCATGAGAGCACAACAGGTTTTGTCCAGTTCTTCCTGTCTCCCTTTTGTATAAAGGAATAATGTAAAATAAGTATGAATTTAAATATTCTTTCCTGCATCATGCAGTACTACTAACACCCCTGCACTACTAACACACCTGCCTTCTTACAGAACTTCTGTGAACTACAAGGCACTTTTTCATACTTCTTTGTCAAATCTTAAGAAGTTTAAAATTTTAACAAAATCATCCAATACTGAGAAATCCCGCATCTGTCTGATTTCACCTCTAGAACACACAGCCAGCCATCAGGAAAATGCCAACACACCTGTAAGTCACAGCACAATGAGAGCCAGTTGGCTCCAATTTTATCAAATTAAATTACACAGTACAGAATGTGCTGTGAGTCTTCCCTATCCTTCTGTAGCTGGTGCTTTTGGGAAGAGTCAGTTAATTTTTAAATTATTTTAAAATTTTTAAGTTATACTTAAGAAATATTGCAAAGGTATTGCAACATCATTACTACCTCATTATAAAGGCTTGTAGCCCACCTGCACACTTGACTAGGTTGCTGGTCAAGCAACCTAGAAGAAATTGTGTTTTAACAAAATTAAATAATAACCTTGCCAGACCATCCCCCCCGTTATTTCTCAAATCAGGATTATTATGTGGAGCCTGACACCTGGCAGGCTTAAAAAAATTATTTGGCTGTAAATTCTCTGAAGTACAAAAAATGCTTTTAAAGACCTTCTAAAGAACACCTTGCCCATAAACTCTGCTCATTCTTCCCTTGATACGCACAAATTTAGTGCTAATACAGCTTAGATTCCCAAACAGCTTTTTTTTTTCATAACAGTATCACAGTAACTCACAAACTTAGATCCACACAATTGGCTAAGCAAGAGTATTACCTCTTGCACAATACGAAAATAAATTTAGGTAAAAAGGAGATAGATAATAGTTTTTATGTAACAGCACATTTATTACAGCAGAGTAGGGAAGCCTGAACAAAATTACATTTAAAGCGAAGTTAAGTAGCCAAGTGGTAACCCCAGGAGGTAACACTGACCACAAGAACAACCTCCTGAAAGGCACCCTGTCACAGGCATCGCCTCCCTCGGCATCACAGGGATGTAACAGCTCACCTCGGCTAACCCAGGCAGGACTAACCTTGCAGCAGTTCGTTGCCGTTACCTTGACAGCAGATGTCAGATAGCAGGAAAGTAGCTCAGACATGTCACCACACAAGTTTTGCTGGCTATCACAGCACAGCCATGATAATTACATTATTTTCACAAAGGAGGTTGGCTTCTCTGTGGTTGTGTAACCCTCTCTCTCTCTCTCTGTAGCCCTGGCTAAAGGCTTCCCAAGGGCTTACCTGCCTGTACACCAACCATCAGCTCTGATGTGGCACAGAGTTGACTGAGACTGCTGAGAAAAAGCTGTGGAAAAAGTCTATAGAAAGGTAAAAAGTATAAAATTGAAGCCCCTGTTGAGACAGGGCTTCTTAGTAACTCAAGAACACAGGGGGACAAACACTAATTTGGAAAGATAAAATCTTAAAGGAAAAAAACTTGGAATCTAAGCCTTCTCCTTCTGTCTTGTGGCTGCCTGGCTAGGGAAGATTCTCCTAGTGCATTATCAGGGTGGTGAGTATTTACCTAATAGCTTGTTAAATCTAGAATATCTTTTGTGTGCAGTAAAGTAATAGTTACGTTATACTTTTACATTCTATATATACTGCTTGCCTAGGTAAAGATGCCCAAAGAAGCATAGTATAAAAGCAAAAAAACAAACAAAAAATAAACCTGCAGAAGACAGGCTTTGTCAGCTGACAGTGTATGTTTGATTTCCACGTGAACATCATCACTGCGTTTAGGGGAAATGTCTGCGTTTGATTTCCTGAGATACTGAGATACATGCGAGTTTGTGCATGTTTGCAGACAGCGTGTGCCATCTAGTTTTATGTCGGCACCTACTAGCCTTAGGTTGTGTTTAGACAATAAACTGCTCCAAAATATTGTCTCTTCTTGTTCCCTGTGAGTGTGGTGTGTGCTTTTGATATCCCTGGCAAAGTGGACTTTTACACAGAGGTGCCCTTTTAAACGCTGGTTCAGCCCCGTAACTACAGTGTGACAGTACCCTAACGAACTTGCAGCTTAGGACTCTTGGAACATTCCATAAACACGGAATCACCTCAGAGACTGAAGAGCTGCTGAGCATTCTTGAACTCTTTCCTTTTGACACAGAAGGCAAACATTCAGCGTATGCCATCTGCTTACTACGTGAAGTATTGCCAATATCTAAGTACAACAGGCAAATTTAATTTTTCAGCACTAAGAGCTAAATTGCACTGAAGGGAGGGAAATAAACCAAACTGTGCTGAGAAGAAAAAGAGGATAAAAAAACCAAAAAGTCCATTACAAGAGACTGGAATTTACTATGAACAGAACTATGTAACATTCTGTGACTACTTCAAATAAGCTGATTTACACCAAACCAAAGACATTACTTCTCTACAGAATAAAGCCTTGAAAGAAGAAGCTGGTCCATAAGATTCTGAAAGAAGAAGCTGGTCTATAAGATGTTCATCATCTTCACCATATCTGTAAATGGAACAAAAGAATCCATTATTTAGCTGAGTGGCACCTTGCTTTCCATGTGAAATATGCAACTTCTTGGTGATTTCTCTGAGTACTCTCTGAAATCCATGAAGATAAAAGGCATCACCTTTGGACTCATTAACGTGAGTATAATTTTATCTGCGCAGTCCGCCCAGGCAATACCAGAGCTTGCACTCTACACTTAGCATGGATAGTGGTGAGATGTGTTCTGTAGGCAGTCTATACATTTTTAGAGCATAGCACATAAAATTAGTAATTTTTATTAAAACATTAGAGAGGTTATGAGGGTATTATTTTCACTGTTTAACAATACAGAAAACAACATCATGCTTACAGCATTTCTTTTCCTGAGTTTCTAAAACCTGTCCATCAAAACTGATTTCTGGCAAAATCAAATATCACAGTGGCCCAAATACCATAGATTTTTCCTTCCAGCTGCAAGACCTCTTTGTCTTTGGGACAATTTGGAATTTATTTAAAAGCTAACTGGTACTTATGCATTCAAAAAAAATACTGTTAGTTCACAGAGGAAGGATGAAAAAGGAAAAAAGCTGAAAACAAAAAATGTGTTTGGGTTCAACGTACAGCAAGGTCCTGCTCTGACAAACAATGGAAGTAAATCCCACCATCAACACGTGACTCCTCTACTCAGGTAATTGCAAGTAAATGACTGTCCTCTATTAAATATGCTTTGGGGTCCTTATCTGAAACAGGTGAAGACACTGGCCTACATAAGCAAACATTATTTATGAGAAAATCTTCAAAAGGACAGTAATGCAAGGGCTTAATTAATTAATTAATTAATTGCACAGTAATGCAAGGGCTTAATTAAGCTCACAACTGCTAATGGATTTAGGGTGTCATTCATTCAGAGTTATCTAAGTCTGGCTCGCTCCCTCTTTCATGCTGGCACCAGCAAATTAGCCCTCAGAAAGGTTCCTTTTTTTTCCCCTTTCCTTATGGGTCTGACACCATCTAGAGCACTGAGCTGGTCTGGAGGGCCACACTGCTTCATTATCTCTACAGCTGCCCCTTTTGGCAGCAACCTCATTGGGTGAACCTAAGCCAAAGTGCATTTTCTGCTAGTGGTTGAGTGCTTGCAGCTCTTGATATAAAATATTCAAGCAATGGTAAAGTTGATTAAACCAGGAATTCATTCCAATGGCTTCTTTCAGGACAACTCTTACTGCCACAATGTATTGCTGCAGAGTAAAAAAGCCATGAAAATCTCTCTTCTGGGTAAACAAACAGGTTCTGCTAGGATATTCCTCCTTATAGTTAGCCATGCACTTCAGAGTAAGAAAGGGACCATTATCAATAGCCCCTTCTAAATTCTGACATAATATATGCCAAAGAGACTCAATCCAACAATTCCTGCATCAGACTTCTGTTCTGGGCTGCAGTTAGAGCTGTAACAAATTCACACGCCAGGATTTCAAACAGGCCCTCTGCTCTCCTCCCTTGCAGGCAGCCAAGCTATTTGCAAACACTTTCACACATTCTCCTGCCTGTGAGAAATGTAGGCCAGCTCCCCACAAGCGGAATGTGTGAAAATGCTTTTAAAAAGCCCAGCTGCCGGCCTGTTTTTCATAGACAAAGAGTGAAAGCGCTTTTAAACACTCCCCTGCCTTCTACTCCGTAAATCCTGCCTTTTCACAGAGGGAACTTTCCTGGTTCTGGGGTAAAAACATCACAAATGCCCCCACCCCATCAAGTAGCAGCTCTAGCACCATCCTTATACTCCCCTCCCTGAGGCTCCAGTCAAATCATACTGCTGGATGGAAAAAAAAAAAACCCAAAACAAGTAAACAAACCCATCGCCAACTGGGTCTGCTTTTAGATTCTCAGTATTTCAATGTATTTTTAAATATCAACATTACCCATAATTGCTTGATACTGAAGTAAAAAAGTTGGAAATTGAAAGGAGTTATATTTGATTTCATATAAGTAGTCAGCCCAAATTAATTCCAATTAGACAAATAAGCAATACTGTGCTACAGCTGAAGCAGAAATTACTCAGAAATGGAGGATTTAAAATTAGCATGAAAGGTATGCAAGGCAAAAATGAAAAATCAAATTTAAATGGAAACCGCAAATAAATAATATTTCCTTAAATAATGCACAGATTTTAATATATTATTAAAATCCACAATTTTCACTATATTGCTGAAATGAAAGGTTTCACACAAGAATCACACCCAATATGGAAAATACAATGAGAATTCATTTTAAATTTCAAGGTTGCATACCTGGGACTAAGATGCTGAAGGAGTTGAACCTTCTTTCTCATTCGGTCCCAATTTTGCTTTACATTCTTTGCAAGTATGATGACAATGCCTAGAATATTGAAAGCAGATGAAACCTTCAAGAATTTTGCTGGATTTCTTGCAATATAAGCATGTAGCATGCTGGCAAATGTTCTTGAAGAAGTGATCTTTTGCCTGTATTCTCCATTTTTTCTAACTGCTTTATGGGATAAACTGCAAAAGATGACACCTAAATGTCTAAATCAATAAAACTCCATTAATTAACTACTATTTCCAGCAATCAATGAAGTATATAATATGATTTTCTAAGCAGGCAAAGACCATTCTTGCCATTGTACCTATCAATAACGAGCAATCAGTTAGGAACACGGTGTATTGTACAGAAGAGTGACAAGTAGTGATTGCGCGTAACACCAAGCAAGGAAATTAATAGCTTCTTTACGTGGGGGAAGAATGGAAGTAGAGAGATACATGAACAATGAAGAAGCTTCTCATTACCAGTTTGGTGTTTTTGTAGGAAAAAAAGCTCATGTTAGTCTGAGGGAAAGACGTGGAAAGACAGAGAATGATTTTGTGGCTAGGATTTTTCAAAATGTATTTTGTGCATGAAAGGTGAACATGAGAAGTCGTTCCAAGAATGAAAAGTAGTACTGGCAGTTGAAGGAGGAGCCTGGAAGGAAGTCTGAGTGTGATGTGATGAGAAAGAGCACGTATGTGAGGTTTCGAAAACAGTGACTAACACATGGAGATGCCAGGCGGCAGAAGGCAACCACTGAGATCTATCGAATGGTTAGTGAGGTGGAAAAAACACCCTTGGGGTTTGTGCTCTTCATGGTCTGGTGTGATAGTATGAGGTTGGGCAAAGCTACAGAGAAAGAAGCTGGAATGTGGGCTGAGACTGAAATTGTTGTTAAAATATGAAGATAGCATTAAAAAAAATCTGCAACATGTTTGGCCTGTTGTATGGTACAAAGGAAAACTCAAAGGGACGAAGTGATCATAGAGAATCATGAGACACTTAGAAGCACACAACTAGATGAAAAGAGAACTAGAAACTGTTGTCCCATGACACTTAAAAGTACATCAATTTCATTCAAATAATGGATTTCCTAATAACAGGTATTACACTGAGTTTAATTTGCATTTTCTAAAGAATATTTAGTAGTTTCTAATACTTTCAAGTACAGCCTAAGAACATGAGTAGTATCCCATGACCTAATCACAGAATTAAAATTCATAGTTAAACTGCATATAATGTTTTTCTATGTTTTAGACTATTTCGATCTAGAATTAATGATTTAAATAAGCACAAACCTTTTGTGTTGTGAACCACATGGCACAACACCAATTTTCTGGAATTTTTTCTGGCATTCTCCCATGTACGACAACTTTCCAACGGCAAAACCTAAAACACCAGCAACTGTAGAGATAGATAACAAAACATTGTTAATACAAGAGCTTAAACCAGGTGCCTGCAATTGGCTCCATTTTAACCATACAATGAATTGTATTTATCGTGGCTTCTCAAAACAGGTCACAAGCATGTGTGAGGTTATACAGGGATTACAGGGATTATCTCAGATTTAGAGAAATAGATTATAGAGAGAGACCACAACAAAATTAATTCACAGTGTCAGCACTTATTTCTCTTGCCCTTGTATGCCCACCGTGGTATATTTCCAATGATCATAATTTTAACACTATCTTCTCTGGGCTTCTAGGAAGCTAGAACGTCAGCCTGCCATCCTATCGCACTGGGGCTTTCACTCATTACAGTCAGAATAAAAATATTACTTCAACATCCTCAGTGTTCTGTTGAACTTCTGCTGAAGAGGAAATTACCTTCATTTCTTGCCATATAACAGCCACCTTACTGTACCATATGGTTTCTGTGCTTTTATTTTTCTTCATCAATGTGGCCATGAGTTAAGATCAATCAAATACAGTTGCAAGAAAAAGTATGTGAACCTTTTCAAATGCCATGGCATTCTGCATTAATTTGTCATAAAATGTGACCTAACTGTCATCTCAGTCAAGAGTATTGACAAATATAATGTGCCTAAAATAATAACAAAAAACCAATTCTGATCCTCCACACTTTTTTATATATTATACTTTGATGGCTCCTTGATACAATAAGCTACGTGATCTGCTAAGCATGGCTGATCAATGAGGCTGACTTTATTTAGCAAACAAAACTAAGACTGGAGTTTTAAGCAATTTGAGAGGACATATTAAGTAAATATGAGCTACTACTGAAAATGTTTCATACGTTTATTTTTAAACACAGCAGTTTTCTGATTTTCTAAAGCACTGCAGTAACATCCCATAAATTCCAGAAAAGGAAGAGTCTGAAGAGAGATTCAGAGAGAGGCATCTATGGTCTGCACACTGAATGTGAATAACCTTTCCTTTCCTCGTAAAATTGGGTACAACTTACTTGCCATCTTAGGTAATGCACCAAATCTTGGGTTTGCTGAGAAAATGCCTAAAATAAAATGAAATAGTCAGAAAGCTTATTCACTGAAGGAACTCAGCAGCAGTCAAAACCAAGACAGCATTTTCCCTACAAGCTTCTGCATTTCTGAAGGTGGGGACTGTACAAAAACTTCGAAGCCCATTAACTCCGATTTAGGAATATCAGGGCAATTTCTATTCTACTAGTTCTTAGTCCATCTGTTTTGAGGCAGTCCTAAGAGGAAAAAAAAATCTGCAGTTTGCAGGATTCAGTTCAGGCAGGGGTTTGGAGTGTAAATCAAGAAAGCAGCATGGCTGCCACTGGTGACACCTGCAGCACTGCAGGAGGAGATGGTGGCTTGTGTTTCAGCACAAACCAGTCTTGTAGATATAATAGAGAACCGAAATCTCCAGCAACTTGTGCTGCGACAAGCAAGCCCAAACTGTCCTTCAGTAATTTTCCATGGCTATTGATTAAACTTGTGTTAAACTGTACTACTGGTATCCAGCCTCCTCCTCTGGAAAGGAGAGATTGTACATTTTGGCCTTTAAGAGGAGAATATAGTGTGCTGAACAAGAAACCCAAAATACTATCTTTAGCTTTTCCCACCAAAAATCCACCTTGCCCCAGCTAACACCAGGAGGTGGAAGCAATATGCCTCCGAGAGTTCATGTGTCTGGCAGAGGAACGCCATGCTGTGGAGGAGGGCTCCACACAGCAAGATAACTATCGCAAAGGGACGGGAACACTGGTTGTGCTGTTACTTGCATGCAGGCAGTGTTAATGAGGCTCAAAAGCTTCAGCTCCTTCTGGTGCCAGTGTACTGCATGCAGTCATCAGAGAGGGCTGTTTGGACAGAGGAGCATTCAGTCTATGCTAAGTGCAAGGGCCTCCACCCACTTGCATCTATGCAATTCTAAATTGCATCTGTCGAGGGAAGGAGGAACAAAATTGTTGTTTGTTTCTAAACAGTCTCCCCCTCTTCATTCCAAGTGCTGACACACAGTAGTGATTATTTAATATGGGCATTTAATATTTCACAGCTGATAAGAAATGTCCAGGTATAACAGAGAGAAACTGAGAAGAGTACCTGGTGTCAGAGGCCGGCATGTTAGTTACCGAGACAACCACAGCGCCCTTCCTGTCCCTGCTCACCCTTTTCGAAATGTGCGACCCTCTGCCTTCCCTCACACCCTCTCCTTTGCTCCTTCCCTCCCCATCTGTCTCCAAGCTCATAGGTCAAGGGTGCAACAGGGAACCCACATTAGCCTCTTGTGGTATAACACAGCTTTCAGGTCTTCTACTCTAGCCTTCCTGATCACCTTAGTTAAAAAAGCAGAATGTGGTGAGGAGGAAACATGGTAATAGTGTCTGGAACAAAACAAGGGGCTTGCAAGCACACACCTCCTTCATTTGCTATCTCTCACCACCCATCTCTTACAGCCCTTGGATTCTTTTCTGCTTCCTGCTTCAAGCTTTGTGATTATTCTCTTCTACCTGTCCTTGTTGTAGCTGGCTGCTCATGCAGGCTGAAGGACTGTCTTACCTGCTCCTGTGGTATGCATTCATCTTCGCGGTCTTCAGGGTGGATGGATGCCCTTCACTCTTTACGCAAAACACTAACTTCAACCTTATTATTAGTCAAGACCCCCAGAAGAGAAACTCAAGGCACAGTGTATCATCCACCACATAAATGGAACACAATTCTCTTTTGTGTTAGCCTGCAGATCGCAAGCCATCTCTATAAAAAGCTCTCTGTCTCCTCACTTTGGCAGTACTCCTTGTCCCTTTGCACCAAAACTGTATTCATATTGATATGTGGTCACTGTGAAAACATTCTCAGCATTTTTCAAATAAACCAACGCTCAGAGCTACAGTAGCCAATTCCGATGCCCCTGCTCAGGTTGTACGATGCTCTGCCCTAAAAGCAGCCCCCGCGAAGACTCTAGTCAAATACATGTGATCCCAGTGAGAGAATCCAGCCACCAGTCTTTGGATTCGTGAAATCTCTTTTCAGTTCCTGTTCTTTCAAAATAATGACTGTGGCAACACATATATAATGATCAAATCACATAACAATGATGGCGACGAGTCAAAGGAATATTGATCTTGAAAACCAGCAGGCTTTAGGGAAACTGCCACTTCAGTAGTAATTCCAGAGTTGCAACTTCATAGCTTAGGGCCATCATGTATTTTTCATATTTACCTTTTGAAACCAGCCCCTGGGTGACAAGCATGCTTCCAAGAGACAAAGGAAGAGCTGTAAAAATAAAAAGGAGAGTATCTGGTATTAATCAAGATTTACCTATCTGTTAAAATACATTACTCTTTTATATAGACATAGGACATAGAACAGTTTAGACTGGAAGAGACCTTCAAGATCATCGAATCCAATCTTTTCCTAGCCCTGTCAACACCACATGTGTCTAACATTATAAAGATGTTAAATGTTTAACATGTTTATAATGTTAAACACATTACTTGTCTTCTAAATGTCAACTCTGTGTACTGTCTTAATGACCTATTACACCTGCTGATTCACATTACCACTTCAAAGCAAGGATGTGTTCACACCATGCCAGGCATCAACCATGCTGTAGAAGCTGGAGCTAATGCATTACATATATTTCTTAAATAACTGCTTCCATAATCTGAGTATCTCCTGTCAGTACTGCAACACTAATAATAACAATGCTGAAACCCTTTTCAATCTTCTCCTTTCAGACCATGTGTAATTCAGATACAAACTAACATGATGGACTTAAAAGACACTAAAACACCGAGTAACTCATCTTTTAGATGGCCTAACACCTAAAGAATTTAATAAATCCAAGACACATCGCCATGCCTGCCCTTCATTCAATGGCAAGTACAACTATGTAACAAAGTAAAAAAATCTTAAGGTTGTTTGAATAACAGACTTCAAGAACAGAACCAAATCTATATTTAAAGTAAGTTCATATTAAACAAGAGCTTAATTGAACCATCTTCACCTACAATGATTACGCACATAATTCAATTAACCCTATAATAACATATCACTCAAGCTGACAGTTAACGCACAACAGTATTCGAACAACCCCCAGTGTATTACAATAAACAGCATGGCGTTTTGCAGCCAGTTTTGCCTAAGTACACAAAGAAGTCATTTGCAGTGTGATAAGGAACGTTTGGATCACTCACCTCTGTACCAGAAACTTTCCTCTTTGCACTCATGACGGATCCTTGCAATTTCTCCAGTGTCGTGAATTTGTGAGGTGGGGCAGTAGAACATTGGCTGAAAGGATAAACTTAGGTTAGCTTATTGAATTTAATCTCACAGGAAGAAAAAAAAATAAATTGATTAAAGAAGACAATTTTTTAAAAAAACCTAATAAAATACAGTGTGAAAACCAACCAACCAAACTCCTTGTTCTGTTGTTAGCAGTGTGATGAAATACTTGATACTCCGATACAGAAACAGAAAGAACTACATAGGTTTTAAGTTAAAACCACTCATCCTGCCGGTCTGTGCTTTCCTAATACAGCTCAGCTGCTGCTTACCCCAGAAGCTTTATTTCTTTTAGCCGTTTCATTCTCACAAGCTACGTCATCTTTTTGGGAAAGAAATGTCAGGAAATAAAGGCAGCGTGGTAGTTTCTAAAAATGAAGTTCCCACCCATATAGAAGTCAATTTAAGTTAAGTAAGAACAGATTTTGCAAGTATTCAGAAGAGGGTCAGCATAAACTCTGTCAGATTCCCCTAACTAGCCTAACTTTCTTCCTGAGCATTTCAAATATATTCATGGCATTAACTGAACTCAACCATACTGGCTTCACCCTCATAATAATGAGCTTGCCAACAGGCTTCTTTTAGGCTAATGGTAGCTCCTTCCTTCCCCTCGTTTTGACTGAGAGAAAAATAGTGATAGCCTTCCCTCTTGTATCCAGGGTGTTGATACATGGCTATTATAGAATCATAGACTATGTTGGCCTGGAAGGAACCTTTAAAGGTCACATAGTCCAACCCCCCTGCAGTGAGCAGGGACATCTTTAACTAGACCAGGTTGCTCAGAGCCCCATCAAGCCTGACCCTGAATGCCTCTGGGGATGGGGCCTCCACTTCTCTGGGCAACCTGTTCCATTTCAGAAGATTATTCTTCGTTCTTTAAGAGATGACTTGGTTATCAACGTTAGCACTCACAGTATCATTAGTGGACATCTGAAATATATGAGTGTACTGACTTTTGCTGGAAAAGAGTTTATTTTCTCCATAGTAGCCAGTATGGTGTCCCATTTTGGATTTGTGACCAAACCAGTATCGTGCTCATGCAGAATCAAGGGCTTTTTTGTTTCTCAGGGTGCCCCACCAGTGAAGAGGCTGGGGATGCAGAAGAATTTGGTAAGGGATGCAGCCAGAACAGCTGACCCCAACTGACCCAAGGGATAACTCCCATGCCATAAGATATTGTGCTCAACAATAAAAGCTGGGCGAACAAATGAGTAATCATGAAGTTAAAATTAATTGAAATCTTAACATTTTTCTGTAAAAACACACCATCTACAAACATACTTGTTCTTGAAGGCAAAACCAGACTTTTTAGAACAAGAAGTGCCTTGGGAAAAAAAAAAAAGCACATTAGTTTATTGCAGGATTCGACCTCATTTTATGCCCCACTGATCTATGATTTTGCAACCATAATAATGAAATACATTTATTGGGTGCAGCCACACATTTCATATCTTAGCTAATTAATACCTCAGCCCCTCCTCAAGCACTGCTCCCACTAAAGTTAATAGTGGTGCTGCTCCAGTAGAGAAGTGACTCCACCCCAGACGCTAGAGAACTGCTTCAAACTGGTTTCACAGCAGGTTCACAGCAAATGCAACAAAATCCAAACAGGCTGAGTGAAAGATAAGGACAGGAGTGTCAGAGCTGCAAGTGCACCAACACGCTTTGCAACCTTTCTGCCCCCATACACACCCTGCCAGGAGTTCAGTTGCTTGGGCTCAAAGTCAGCTCTAATGTGGCACAGATGTGTAACACTGAATTAGATTGCTGTGAAAACTGTAAATCTGGGAGAAAGAGCTGCAAGAAGCTTTGCCCAGGGCCCCTGCCCCTCAGCTCAGACCTTCTCTTTAACTGTGCTGTAGGCATGCCTCTACTTGGCCTTTTAGCTTCATGATCCCTACCTTGTCTTATTAACTTGACATCCTGGCCCACCTCCAGCCTTGCCTTACTGCTGTGGGCTTGCCTGGCAATCGCTGGGCTGACTGTTGGCTTACCGCGGTTCATGTCACTAGATCTGCTCTACTTCTCTTTTTTGGGGTGCTGTGGGACTGTGCTTCTTGTCCCTGAGATCATTACACCTGTCTGCCTTGCTGTCACTCGTGGTTCCTGGGTCACCTTTCCTTGCAGATCTGCCCACTTCTGCCGCTCTCTGGCAGTGACTGGTTAGCAACAAGGTCATATCACCTATAAATTCCTTGCAGTTAATTAGATGCTTAGAGCATAAAATGGTAAAATCTGAAGCCCCACGGGCAGCCGCTTTCTCCAGCAGAGAATGCTTAGCTGCCATACAGCTGGAAGGCGGGTTCTTGTGTAGCACCAATCCCATCTTCTCCCCTTCCGAGCACATACACACATGCATAACTTGGCAGGGACAGGTTATACCAGACTAATGTTCAAAACACTAAGGCTCTGCCAGTTTGTAACCAGCACAGCAGAAATCAGAGCCCACTATCTTAAGACCTAAAAGCTCCCAGCCCTCTGAGTGTAGGGAATGAGAAAGAACAACACGTAGCCCTCCAGTTACATGCTTAAGCTAACACACATCTGTTTCTCTCTTCACTAAGAGAGACCAATGCAAAATCCCAGCTCTTCATTAGCAATAGCATCAAAATAGAAGAGAGGAAGCCCAGCTTACCCATCCGGTTTGCTTTAACGGAGATGTCTGACTTTCCTGTTTGGTTGTTTCAGACGACATTGTCTCCTTACTTGCTGCCTCTCCTGCCGATCTTGGTCAGCAGAAATTACGTCTTTTATGCTTGGCCGCCTCCCTTGCTGCTAGGTACAAAGGTAAAAAGCCAAAGTATATTGATACAGGAAGTTCAGTGCTTACCTAGGCACAGCAATGACCAAGTTGGAAGAAGTATTTTTTTTTTACAGCAGATAGCATCCAGTCACCTGATTACATACATTTTACAGCACAGTGTATAACTTATCAAAAATACAGAGTTGTGTGCAGCCTAATTCCAAGAGAGAAGTCAGTAAGTACCATTAAATGCTGCATCATGACCTAGCACAGCACTCTCAGTCATAAAGAAAGGAGAACAAATATGAACAAGTCATCCAAGCCTTTTTAACTTTTACTGTATTTCAGGTCAAAAATTCAGCTTCTTTAGTGTGCTGTCCAGAAACACTGTACTGCTCCTACCCTCACTGCTGTGATCCAAAGCTTTGGTTCCACAGCACCCACAACGCAAGCTTATCACAAACCACATCTGCATTTCCAACAAACAAAATCCAGTTACGAACATGCTTTAAAAAATAATAAAAATGTCTATGAAAAAAAAACAGATTCCAAAGGGTTTGAGAGTTGCAGTCTTCCATGTCTGAGAATTGTACCGTTAGGGAAAATCAAGAAGGAATCTCATTTATTTCTTGACTAATTCAAACATCTAAACTGCAATTTTTACCGAGCACCTTGCCACGTTTTTTTTCAACACACAGGACACTGGTCCTTTTTAGAAAGTACCTTCTGGGAATGGTGGCACTGAGCAACAGTAAAGTGACTGTGAAGGACAAAGTTAAACAGAAATCACAAGTAACTATTTAATAACCTGCAAGTTTCTGGCATTTGTAATAATCCTGTATAAATTATTTCCTGCACTTACTTTGCAGTCAGTTAAATGGTTATAAAGTACAAGCAATGTCCGCTTCAAGGACACTGGATATTCAGATAGTCATGTTTTTTTAAAATGATGCATCAGAAGCAACACAACCTCGTCTCCCCTTGGTAAAAAGACTCAATTAAGCATTGCATTCACACCAATGTACATTATATTCTCAGCCACTCTCAAAAATGACAATGACCATTGTGTCTTTGAAGAAAACTAGGTTTGAAAATTGATGTTTGGAAAGCCCATAGCTCTTCACTGTCTGCCTCACCCCGACTAAGAACAATTTAATTTTTCATCCATCTCTTGTCACTTAAAGCAAAAAAGGAAATGAGAAAAAACACACAAAACTTCAAAGAGGTTTATGTCAAAGACACAAAATTTCCTTATTTTTATCTGCTTTCTTACTCTTATCTGCTCATGAAGCCTACCTGTGCAGATGGTTGCATAAAAAGCATCACTGGACAATACTATTGATTGATAAGGTTTCTAACTGCTGGAACAGATTTTAATTGCTCATCTTTTTCATGAGGGTTTAAAAAGCTGAGTCACAAGAGAAAATAAATAAAATGAAAAAAAAATATAAGTAAAAATCAGGTTACAAAAATTTGCAGCTTGCCATTAACCTGTGTTGTCTCCAGCATACATTTCTCCAGACTTTTAAGTAATTCAGGTACACTTCCACTTTAACATAACAAAGAATCCAAAAAATATGAAGTCCTTCAAGCAGCTTCCTGGCACCTCTCCCACTTAGGATGGAAGCTGAAAGCTCTACTAGCAAGAACGAAGAAAAGAGGCAGAGCTGATGTCATAAAAATATGATTTAATCAAATCATTAATATTAGTACTTAGCACACATGCTGCCTCTTATCTGAGGAACGCAAAAGCGTTACTGTAATTTGACTCATTATGTCTTGAAATGACACCCGTCATCCTAAAAAAATAACTATGTGCATTGACCTATTGAAGAAACATACCTTTCTTGCACATTTTCACTGTAACTTATTGACGTTTTCTCAAACTAACTATGTAATTGTTAGTGTAACAATTAAATGCATACCCTCTTATCTGCCTTGGGAAGAACTCCCCAATGATGTTACTCCTCTGTTTAGGTGAAATACCTATATAACATAGGAAGCTCCACTCCAACATGAGGAAAAATTTCTTTTCTGTGAGGGTGACAGAGCATTGGCACAGGCTGCCCGGAGAGGTTGTGGAGCCTCCTTCTCTGGAGACTTTCAAAACCCACCTGGATGCGTTCCTGTGTGGCTGCCCTGGGGGATCCTGCTCTGGCAGGGGGGCTGGACTAGATGATCTCTAGAGGTCCCTTCCAAACTCTAACATTCTATGTTTCTATAACACAATGTTAAACCAATGTGGCTTGGAAGGATCAAACATCAAAAAAATTTCTTCCTATTCTACAAGAACTGTTCTGGACTATTTACACATTTACAGAAGAAAAGGCTAATCTAAGACTCCTGAAAGATCTCACTGTTTTGATTCTTCTAACCAGAAGCAGTATGCAAGACAGGAGAATTGCCAACTTCATATACTGTTTTCAGTAATAAGCCTCCTTCCAAATAGGAATGGTGACCATACAATTTCTAAGATTACTGAAGTACAGTCATCACCAAGACAACTTGTTAAGACTTCAGAGGCCCTTCAAGGACTGAGCGGCCATCGTGACTAAGAGGGGATGACTCTCTCTCTACAGCGTTTAACACGTATCTTCTGAAGTGGCTCTTCATTTTAAACTCAGCCTTGTATTTCAAAGTAGAGTCAACAGAGCAGCTGCACTAGGTCTTGCTGATGAAAAGCTCCCAACCAGCTGGGCATGCCAACACCCACAAAGCATGTGAGTGCCCTGCGCTTGCCCCACCGTACCCCACAGCACCTGCTCAGATGCCTGCCCTCGCACAGGGCACTGCACACCCGGCCAGAACAGGGCACCACTTTGTACTTATGGCTTGCTCTAAGGCCTAAGGACGTGGCTGGGGACGTGCAAAACGCCAGGAGGGCTGGGTTTCTTTGGAGGGAAAGGTGGCTGCAATCAGGCCCAGAGCAGGCCTCTGCACTAGCCCAACAGCGGCCTTCTCCTCTGGCCCGGCCACC